ATACATGACACATTAATACGCTTCCTGATTTAAAACTAACATTTCTGGTACATTTGACAAGGTGGGTAGATCTTCTCCCCCACACGCTGTGTTCGTAAACAGTGCACAGAAGTAGTATCCATGTGCTCCTCAGTTATTAATCATACAGCATACAGTTCAATACAAATGAAAAATGTAACAAATCATGAATTAACACGCATAATATACCACACTAATTCACATGACATAGGTTTTTAAAAGAATAAGGATATCATGAAAGTTGATGATGTCACAGCCTATCAATGTTGAAGTACTTTTAAATTCTATAACGAAAGCCACCCGTTCTATTACAAACATATCATCATCTTCCTACACATATCCAACAAATTTTGCGAAACTCTTTATTGATGTATTTCCCTACGTTCTGTGTTGAACAACAACAAATCTAACACTATTTTCGCACAACCAGTAAGATACAAACATTAATTTTATCATCAAATCTTATCTTTTGAATAACTTGAGTGCATGGGTGTGTGTGCTTGGCTTTACACCCTTTCTCGCAACATTCTTGAAATACAGGACGCAAAACGGGCTCTTCACCCATGTTTGCTTCATCAGAGTAGTTGTTACAGAGATCGCCTGAGGTGTATCGACATCGTGATCTAACTATAATCATTCGGGTAGAACCATCATGTGTAAGACAACAAACGATGCCTTGACGCATTTTATTTCTTAAGCACATTTCACAAAGATAATACGTTCTTGTATACTTGTTTTAGCCTTGCTCTTGTTCGGAACTCAAGGTATCCGTAACTTTTATTATCATAAGTCTCCAGAGTAGGTGTGAATCCGAATATTGAAGAAAAGATGACGTACACTCAGTGATCAAGACAACGTCTGATCAATGCTATATAATTTAACCACAAAGTTTTCACCACTGATGTCATGGATGACTTTGGGAAAGTTGGTAGTTGATTAGATAATTAGTGCTCCTTCAGCACTGTGACGACACCCCATATTTCCATATTGCAAACATGTAGGCTCTGCTGCAGTATTGCCATCAGATTCTCTGCTGTAGCATTCTGACCTTCCTTCCTCCTCCACGTGTTCAACATGGCAAAGATCTGCATCAGACAGGAAGAGTGAGTCATCTTACACCTCTGTACACACACATAGGTCAGCCCTAGACGGACCCCCACCGCCTCCCAGCCTTCCCCCAGGTTCTCCGATACAAGCAACAATGTCTTTTCTGTCAGACAGGTGCTCTTCTCTTTCTCCGACAGCTCATCCATCCATTCTATATTTGAAGATACCAGCTAGAAGAGACAATAAAAGTACCTTCATATACCATTAACGCAGCAGTACATGTATGCAGGACATATTTGACTCCGATCAGCAAGTACTAACATTATTAACAATTGTATATCAAGTAGTACTGTAGCACACTCCATATACAGTGTCACAATATAGCTGAAATATTGCCGATGTGACGCTAAATTTGAAGTAACTCACCCACATACAGTTATATTGTAAGTCCATGTGAATGTCTCTCTCAGTTTTAGTTTGAATATTCTTTTCATGTTATCCAGGGGTCTGAACAAAATGCCCAAATCTTCACGTGTGTGTTAATGTATGTTTCCTTAAAATGATCCATAACGTGCGTGGGAGCATGTCGACAAACAAATATTTCAGATTGAAAAGTAAAATATCCTACCTCGCAATCACTTCCAAAACGACAGCAAATATCACCCATTGTTGTATCCTAGATGAAATGTCTTATAAGATCGTAATTTACAGGCCACCTTCCAGTGTTTACACCTTTATGGATACTCTGCTTCAAGTGACAAGCGTATAGCAATCCCACCAAGGAAGTACATTACATTAATAGATCCAAATCATCGCGGCACACGAGAGTATGAAAGTTTTGAATGGATCCGAAATGTGATACATTTGTTATGTTTGTTGAAAGATGGAGTTGACAACCTACCGAATGTTGCTACTAATTTCACCCATCTATTCCAACCTCGTTCAAAGTTTACAGTACGTTGTGTTACGATCCGAAAAATCAGACACATAAATATGTAATGAAAGTTAACACGTTCTGATCCGAAGTTAAACCTTGTGCTGTCTACACCTGACGTGATGCGAATTAATAATGTTCGGACTGATGTTTTTCATTGTAGTGATTCGATACAGAAATATGTCAGTGATAGGTATAACCTCAAAGAAGCTCAAAGAATAACACCACTTGTGATTATATCAGTTTTCAACACTATTTTGCCTATTACGGCCAATGGAATCTGTTCTTTGCAGACAATCGAAAATGATTATTTTCTGGTGTTGGCGTTTTTATAGTTATTATAATATCTAGACCTTATTGTTTTACCCGTTCCCTCAACAGTGATACATGGGAGAGAATTGCCTCTGAACCTTTAACTGTATACAGGGAAAATGTATGCATGTACTGCACATTCTTTTGTTAATAGAAAGTCAGTAATAACGGAATGCACACACGCCATTGATTCTAATATGATATAATTCGGTATCTTAATATGTAAAGTGGGAGTGGTTGTGTTAATTACATTTGTAATATATTATTAAGCATATATTAGGCGCTTCGGTTTGATGAACGAACGCTTTGGACACTAGGCTATCCCCGCCGTCCAAACTAAAACATTGGTACGAGACTATGACTTGTTATTATGATGAATATGAATATTCAGTACTTCAGTCTGTAACACATAATGATACTGTCAGTATTCCATATGACAGGCCAATGTAGCGACACGTTTTTCTAATTGTATTTTTATATTTTCGTGGTGATTGTGGGAGATGGGTGCAGCTTTGAACAATAAGTGTGTTCTATAAAAGTTTATCACTTGGACACACACACATCAGACATAGGAATGGTGTTGACAAACCAGGGATCACCATTGGATATTATTGGGTGATGTGTTTTTAAATTTAATAATACGCCTTCAACCAGCATGTTTTATGTTAATTTTCCTTAAGGATTAACCGCTGTTGTGCACTCCCTAGCTCTGCATCGCTACCTACCCGACGATGTCTTCCACTGCAGCAGCAACTCCACTGTATCCATGGAAGCAGTCGTGTACACACGGATCCCTTGCTACGAGTCCGAGACATTATAGAATGTGTTACCCACGTTCTTTGTATACCCCGCCCACCAACAATTTTGAGCCCGTGACATCAGCTAAAACACATGGTCACCTTACTGGTCATGAGGTATTATAAAAATAGATCCACGATATCGGGAGAGTCAACATGCTTTTGTGAGGAAGAACAACACACTTGTAAAGTTCCTAAAAGTATGTTATCATGAAATTTCCTCAATGACAGTACACAGACACGAAATCTAAAACCTACTTGTTAAGGCCACTTGTTACGTTGGTCCTTTCTGCATTTAGCTCAGTGGCAGTCATTGTCACAAGTTATAAAATCTCGGATCGGTACAATAACGAAATATAAACACACACTTGTAACGGTTACCCATTATGCAACATGGACTCATGTTATTTCTGAAACCTCGGATCAGTAAAGTCAACAATTTAATATGCCTTACAAGGCGCATATATCTATTTACAGAAATTGTTCTTTCAACATATTTATCAAACAAATATGCACAGTAGATGTTATAAAAGAAAAATTCATAACATTCGGATTATTGTAGCATAGGGTGAGTGACTGGATATTGCATATCATGTGATATCATTACCTTTATGTTTAAATTGATCGTAAGTATATATAAACGCCAGACAATAACCATTTTTTTATTACCCACCGAAGCAGCTTCATTCGGCGTAAAAGCCAACTAGCAGTGAAAACTATATGCCATTATTATTGGTTTGCTTGTTTGTTGTTTAACGCCACGGTGAGCAATATTCCAGCTATATGATGGTGGCATGTAAATAAGCCTGGACCAGACAATCGAGTGACAAATCATGAGTATCAATTGAGATACGATAACCTGACTACCCGATCCCGTTAGTCGCATCTTACGGCAACCACAGTCGCCTATAATGTCAAGCATAGGTTGCTGAAGACCTATTCTCTATCCGGATCTTCACGGGTCGAAAGTTTTATGAATTGATGAAGGAAAACCAGTGATGACACCAGGTGCCCTCACCACGGTATCCACGGTTCAGAATCGTTAGTACACGTGCACACTTTTTGTATACTTCATGTTCACGTTAACATCATTCTGTAATGATCCGAAGAATTAAATTACGGATTCGGGCGGTCGGGTAGCCTAGTGGTTAAAGCGTTCGCTCGCCACGCCGAAAACCCGGGTTCGATTCCCGACATGGGTACAATAGGTGAAGCCCATTTCTGGTGTCCCCCGACGTGATATTGCTGGAATATTGCTAAAAGCGGCGTAAAACCACACTCACTCACTAATTACGGATTGCTACATGTGGTAAAGGGGAAGAACATAGGTGCTTCGACACAAATATACATCAACTGGTAGACACTACATACGAGATTTACACATGGTATTGGTGTGGGGAATAGAACCCGGGTGTTTGGCGTGATGAGCAAACGCTTTAACCACTAGGCTACCCAACCGTCCTATTAGGATATGAAACATTGTCTGTTGTATCCAGAGACTGTTATGTACTGATAGTACATGTATATACATGTCATGTCGCTGAAAGATTACTGTTTGTGGAGTCAAACAGCAAACACACAAAATATATCTTCACTAAACATACAGTCATACTTCCAAACCTGCAAACCTGCCTGTAGTCAGATAAACTATCAAGCTAGTCTATATTCTATCACATGTCACAATACCACCTCCTTGTGACTATCTCAATTGACAGAATAGATTCATGGTCTCCTCGATAAATGATTTCCTTTCTCAATATTTCTTAGTGGTAATTCATAACTCAAAAGTAGAAAATTCATAAAGTTCGGATACAGGATGTATAACGCCTACGTCATCATCTAGGGCACAATGCTCGACTGTGATTCGATTATCCAAAGTCACATGACCACCTTCATGTATATGTAGAGGACACGCTCCTGGTAGCAGTAAAGAAAGTGTTCATTATGACACGAACAAGGAATTGTGCATTACTGTGTTCAAAGTGGATAGTGCGGAGCATTTCGGAGAGTTAGTGAATGAATTAATGGATGGGACGTGTCAAAGATCTTGAAAGGTGAGTACTTGAACATACGTCTGAAGTACGTGTGGCGAACTTTCAGTGACAGAGACCTATATACAATACATGATGCACACTTGAAGTTGAAATCATGTTATTTACATTCACAGATCTCAAAACTACACCTATTTTGTTCTAGTCGTACAATCATGTCTGCCATTACTTCCTTGTATGAGTTAGATCTATTCATAGCTGGGTTTCTCCAGATCTATATCTACCCGCGTATGAATTTCGACCTGTTTCACATGAATACAGTCCGATCAGTATGAAACTGAGGTGTGTGCTCGACAACTCTGTACAGACAGGACAGCCAGTGACCGAGTCACATCACTTCCCAGCTTTCCCCAAGGAAGTAAATAAGTTGCTGAGATCACAGACTATTTATTATCACCTCCCCTAACAGGTTATCACAGGTGTGTCAGTAACTATGTAAATACTTCCTGGTAATATACAGCGACAGCCTTCCCGTTGTTAGTTCACGATATTCAAACAGAATTTCATTTCTATTTAGTTACTGAATACATTCAACGTTGCTGTCTGTGTAAGACGCGCTTCTACACACATGCATATAGTATGTTGTACACATGGAACGTCGTGGTTTGTCTCTCTGGAAAACAAAATGACTAACAGGGTTCACTGTCTACACAGTCACGTAGCTCCAAACAGTTGCAACTTCGAGTTCACTTACACTAAACAGCAGTTGTGTGAATGCATGTGTTAATATTGATTGGAACATATCTCCCCAAAATAACACATTATAATTTCTATTTTTCTTAATAGCTTCTCAACATTACCATATAGGCTTTTAAGGAGAGGGGAAGGCCGGGGGTTCGAACACCGGTCGCGTAATATCAAAAGACGCTAAAATATGGTCATTGTTGTTACCCTGGCTGGTGCTTGGCAATGAATCAAGGGAATAAATCAAGGAAGGGTCATCTTGAAGTCAGTGTACTGTGTATGATTGATCCGTGTTAAACTACAGCATGGTATCTCAGTGGGCTAGCACTATAAAACCGTAGTAGTAGTAGTAGTAGTAGTAGTAGTAGTAGTAATAGTAGCAGTAGTAGTAGAAGTAATAGTAGCGGTGGTAGTAGTAGTAGTAGTAGTAGTATTAGTAGTAGAAGCAGACAGACATACACATGTGCACGCACGGCTACAGAAGAGAAATGTTCTTGAAGGCAACATAAACCCCTTCACCTCACCTTATTCAGGCACAGTTTCTATTGCCAATGTAACCTACTGTAGTGTCATACATAAAACAAATGTTCATTTCAGAAATCTCGGATCGTGTGAAATACGCTCAGTTTGAAATGTTAACATTCAGACAAGTTCGAGCATGCCTGGAACATGTATATCACGAGATGGTATCATCTGAAGTTGCGGGTGGATCGACTGTAAACAGGGTATACATAGGTTTCAATCCACCCTACATTTGGCACATTTTATTCATATTCTTGATAATGTATGAAATGTGTTTGAAAGATGAATACTGATATATAAATTCGAACCTACGTTGAATTATGTCCGATAAATCGACTTGGTCCAGAGGAAGTTGACAGAAATGCTTTTTGACTCGGATAAAATCCGTCATTTGGAATTGTTTTGCACGTTTTAAACATGACAAAGAATTTTGTTGACGATATTTTCCATAGCACAAGGATACTATCTATGTATTGAGCGTATTACTCGGATCCCCAAGTCACCTGTAGCCAACCGGAAATAATGGAATATTTATAATACAATTTCCAATCTGAAATTCTACCTCATCAAATCCCAATACCATATCAACACATTTTAACACATTTGCATTAATTCCATGAGACAGCAAAAGTTTGAATTGATCGGTTTAGTCCAGTGTTAACACTATAGGCATGAAACTGTCGGGTGGATTAACCATTTAAAGGGCATACACGGGTTACACTCCGCTTTCACCAAATGTGACATGACATTCAACGATGAAAGTCAGCATGTTTGTGTAAACAAGAATAATTACCGTTCAAAGGTCCTGAAAGTTATGTTATAATGAAATGGTCGCAATGACAATTCATAGGCCCAGTCGTTATCGATAATACGTTTGAAGGTCACCTATTACTTTAGGCCTTCCCATAACTGTGTACAGCTCAATGGTTATAACCATTTATACAATTTATAAAAACTCGGATCAGCCCGGAAAGATAAAGGCACATACACCACATGTAATTCGTATGATTTCTAAAAATTGGGATCAGTAAAGTTAATAAAGATAGCTGTATTTTGTTATGTACCAGACGTCCACATGTATTGTGAAGAAATACTTCTTTCAACATAATTATCTATCAAACAAATATGCACGGTATGCTCTCAGATGAAAATTCATAACAGTCGATCGGCTGTGACACAACTTTTTGGCTCATTGAAACAGGCTAGGTATGATTGGACATATCACATGACGTGATCTTATGATCATTTTGTTGATATCGATCGTATGAAAAGAAATGTTCACTTCTATTTTCAAAACTTTATGTGCACAAACTCACTTCTTTTACATTTCATGTTCAAGTTGATGTAATATTCCGTAATTATCCAAACAATATATTTGATTGTCACACATGGCAAAGGGTTTAAAATGTGGGTGCCTTGAAACAAATATCCATTGATAGTACATTCAAGATATGTTATACCGTTTTTTAATCGATTAATTATTTATATTATTGTAATTGTTGTTATCAGTGTTAATCAATTACATACCACCACTAACCATGCCGTCATACGTTCCAAAACTGTCCGTTGTCAGGTATAAAACAAACAATAGAACTATATTCTATACTGTTTGTCTCGAAATCACTTCCTTGTGATTGACTGACACAATTGATGCATGGTCTCATCGTCCAATGACTTTTCGTGTAAATATTTCTTGGTGGTAATCGATTCCTTTCAAAATGGGACATTCATAAAGCTCGGATACCGTATGTGACACACCTTGGTCATAAACTAGGGCATGATGCTTGACTGTGATTCGATTATCAAAGACACATGACCACTTTATCTCATTGCATGAGTTGGATCTATTCAGAGCTGGGGTTTTCCAGATGTGTACAAAGTATTTCTTTTACAAATGATTACAATGTGAACGATGCTATTACAGGTGTTCATTACTGTAGTAGTCTCATATTATACTTAACAATTATTTTTTCTTATTGTATCTGCGGAAATCCTATACGTGTGGTATATTTAATGGTCAACAACACATAAATTGTATCGCCGTCTTATTGCTTTTAAATCAATATATCACCTTCACATTCATTAATGACGGCGTTCCGTGAGGTCACTTGTTCAAATACACGTTTTATTTAGGTACACAATTTTTCTGTACGCCAGAAGCCTATGATTGTGGGTTCGAATCCCGGTTCCCCTAATTATGTTTCTAGGTTTGACATCATCATACCCGTGCTCGTGGGGCTGCATCACTTCGGGCTTTCCTTCAACAAAAACCTGACACGCCGTGATATATAAAAAGTGTCATTAAACTCAACTCAACTCAACACCCCGTAGGGGGCACGGGTGGCCCAGTCGTCTAAGGCGCCGCGATTCGCTGTGCAGAAACCAGAAACCTATGATTGTGGGTTCGAATCCCGGTTCGCCCCGATTATGTTTCTAGGTTTGTCAGCACCATACCCGTGCCCGTGGTTTTCACCGAAGTGGTAATCGTCCGAGACCTGCATCACTTCGGGCTTTCCTCACACATTAAGCTGACACGCCGCGATATAACTGGAATACTGTTAAAAGCGGCGTTAAAAACCCAACTCACTCACTCACTCACTCAACACCCTGTACAACCACAGCAAGCAAATATTAATTTCATAAAGTTCGGATCATGTTGGATGAGCTCAATTTGAAACTCTATGACAAACTCAAGCATGCCTGAATAACAGTATTGTATATCAGCTCATGATGTCCCGTGAAACCGTTGGATCAAGCCACTATATACCTGGCATGGATAGGTTTCAGGCAGTTCTCACTGTTTTCTATTCAGGAACTTACCTTGTTCGACAATTAACTGAACTTCAAACATAAATACTAATGTATGAATTCCTTCTAACATTGAATTCTTTCTGATAAGTTAAAAAAATATTTTTCACTCTGAAAGAGAGATTAATGGCTCAGTCCGATTGAATGGAAGTACGAGCAGCCACACACACACACACGTGCATGCACGTCGCTATATTAGTGCAATAGTGAATGAGGCATTTAACCCCATTTCCCTTATTGTAATAGAGCAAAATACAGCTTTCGTTTTACAACGCAACACTCCAAGAGATATCAAAAATGGTACTTGTTATCCTGCCTGCCAAACGGTATTAAGAGCATAAAACAATGACTGTCCGGCTCGGAGTCAGTACACTGTGTCTGAGTGTTGTATCTATGTTACACTGAGGTTTTGGTATCTCATTGGGCTAGCACTATAAAGCTGGCGTTAGTCAGGACTAGTACAAGGAGTCACACATGTGCACAATTGTCGCTACAAAGTGCAATAATCTTAAACGCGAGGTTGACACCGTTTCACTTAACCTCACCTCAATCAGTCGGAAATTGTACATAACGTTCCTTATTTAAGTCCTAATCGTTATCGATAATATGTATTAAGGTCACGTATTAGTTTAGGCCTTCCTACATTTGTGTAAAGCTCAATGGTTACCATTTATACGATTATAAAAACTCGGATCTGTGAAGTCACGAAAGGTGAATGTACATGCACTAAGGTCTCTTCTGAATGGTACCCTTATTGACACATGGAGTCGTATGATTTCTAAAAACTCGGATCTGTGAAGTCACGAAAGATGAATTCACATGCACCTAGGTCTCTTCTGAAGGTTACCCTTAATGCCACGTGGAGTCGTATGATATCTAAAAGCTCGGATCTGTGAAGTCATGAAAGATGAATTCACATGCATCTAGTTCTCTTCTAAAGGTTACCCTTAATGACACGCGGGGTCGTATGATTTCCAAAAACTCGGATC